TTCCTCTAATGTGGCCCTTGCTTTTTATGCCAATGATTTTCCCCTCCACTTCTTTCCCTAGTTCCTCTTTTTTTCCTCCAGGTATCCAAAGAACATGAGCAATCTCTCCATAAATACAAGTTCTATTATGCTCATTGACCACAATGACGCACAGGATATTAAACTAAACAGAGTTTTGCTTTCTTCCAAATGTAGTGATTCCAGTGGACTGGGGATCTGACTGGCTGTGAATCTGTCAGGTTTCCCTTTTGCCATTCTCTAGCTGGCTGTAACTGAACTTTTCTTTACTATATTATATGTTACCTTCTTTTTTGCTAGCAGTTCCTATCCCCTCTGCTTTGGCCTCTAATGACCACTGCTGCATCATACTGTCTTTAGTGATCTGTAAATTAAATCAGCTGATGAATGACATAGCACTTGGAATGTACACAGCACATTGTGGGATTTGGAAACCTCCATTTAACAAGTGTCAAGCATCCCTGACTCTTGCAGCAGAGAAACCTACTCAAACACATAATACCTTTATCAGTTGAAGTGGATCAGCTCGCTTTGAATAACAGGAAGCTTTGAATGTCCAGGAAATTGTAGTATCTGGACAGAAAGCTGCACCCTCTGGCTCACAGTGGAGCAACTTAAAAAAGGAATTTCCAATACAAAGAAGATGACGTTGCAGGTTGTATTTTTCACTTTCTACTTCAGCTACACAGCTTTTCCTTGGCCTCACTCAGAAACCACACACCTTCCCGGAAATTCAGGGATACATCTAAAATCCTTCACATGACCAATTCAAATAATTTGATGTACCACGATTTCTGAAAAGGCGCAGTTGCTCTGAAGCACTCTCCCCAAGCAAGGCAAGGAGGCGAAGTAAGTCCTGTGTAACACCGTGTGCAGGTGCTCCGGAGAGCAGAACTGCCCAGGAAACGGGTCTCCTCCGGGCTGTGGAGGGATCCTTGGGTGACAGCGTGGGGTCAGCTCCCTGCAGGCACGGCTGTCCCGTCCTGCTGGCCGCAGGGAGGTCACCTGCTGCTCAAACCCTGCCTTTATGCTTTGCTCCACCAAAAATCCTCCTGGCCACCTGCTGCGTGCACCCCCGCTGCGGCCACTATCTGCGTGATGAAACTTGCGATAGGGAAATCAGCCGAACAAGGCAAATCCCGGCTGCGAGCGGCACTCACTC